ACTATAGGAAGCAGCCGCTCTTTCCGATCACTACACTTGAACACATAAAACCACTTTTCATAAAAATAAATTTCTACCATCTCAACAAAAACATGTATCTATTCAATCCATTAAAGTTGAGGATTCTTTTAAAAAAATCCAGCTCCTCTAGTTTGAATTCTTTTGACAGTCAGGATAAAACATCTTCAAAACCATCAAGGCCTGTCTGCCATTTTTGTAAAAAACCTGGTCATGTTATGTCCGATCGTTGGTGTTTGAAAAAGAAAAGACAAAAGGAGGCAACACCCAATATGTTTGTGTCCACATATTGACATAGTTTCACCAGATCACTCGATGTTGTTGATTTGGCCACTGATATAAAGGCTGATGTAATCAGGGAGGAATTTAGACCTTTTGTGTCTGTAGGTTCTATGTCTTTCACAAATGACACTGGCAATCCCAGACCCATACGTATTCTACGTGATACTGGGGCAACCCAATCATTGTTGTTAGAAGGTATATTGCCTTCAGATTCAAGTTCTGCCACTGGTGAGTCTGTTATTTCTCAGGGTATTGAGGGTGGCTTTGTTAATGTTTCTCTTCATAACATTTATTTATCATCAGATCTAGTTTCTGGACCAGTTGTGGTTGGGGTAAGACCTACTCTACCAATTAAGGGTGTGTCCTTGTTGTTGGGAAACGATTTGACTGGGGAAAATGTTGCCGAATCTAAAATGGTTAGTGAGCCGATCACTGTTTCATCTAAGGATGATGTTGTAGTTGAGGAGAATCCTGATGTGTTTCCCTCGTGTGCTGTGACTCAAGCTCAGGCTAAGAAACTAAGTCAAAAAGAAATGATAAACATGGATTCAGAGAACGATTTTATAGATTTGTTTCAGACATTTGTTTGGACCCGAGGGGGATCTTGTGGATGATTGTCCTACTGAAATCCTTAGGTGAGGGGCAACGATGGACGTGAAGGATCTGATTCACCTCGTGAAGTTCCATTTACTAAAATTAAACTGATCACTGAACAAGAAAAAGATCTTCAGATCTCTTAACTGTTTAAATTTGCACTCCAAAAGCTGAACTGGAAAAAGTTCAAAATGGTTATTTTTTTCAAAAACGGTGTACTTATGAGGAAATGGAGACCACTAGATGTGCCAGCTTCAGAGAACTGGACTATTATTTACTAAGTCGTTGTTCCGAAGGCATATCATTCTGAAATATTAAATTGCCCATGAGAGGTCACTTAGATGTCAACAAGACATGTGACAAAATTATGAGAAATTTATCTGTCCAAAAATTAGACGTTTCTCAGTTTTGTAAAACTTGTCATACTTGTCAGTTAGTCGGAAATTCTAACCAGAAAATTCCTGTTGTTCCTCTGAAACCTATCCCAGCTCTTGAAGAACGTACGTTCCGTCCTGAGGACATGGTCTTAGTATTGTTACCCACTATGGAATATCTAATAAAAAAATTAGAAAGAAAGAAGACTGTTAAATTGCAGTTCATCACGATGAGAATATGGTTTGAAGATATCCATGTCATAATGGTTGATAATATTTGTGCCGATGTACTTTCATGTACTATGTAATTTTATGATCATAAGGGGATTCGTATTGGTTGTGTTTGTATACTGTAATGGTTACTGAAGTGGTATAATACTTTAAATAATGTATTATATATAATGTATTGTTGCAAATGTATATGTATATATATAATATCTTCGTTAACAATTGTCTAATGTTTAATTCTCTAAGGAGGGAGCTGTAACGAATTTGTTATTATATACTTATTTTAATATAAACGTTTATTTATATTAAGTTTATATTTAGAAACATAGGTAGCTTATAGGGTTAAATATGTATTGCGAAACTCCCGCCTATCCTCCAAAGTTGTAGAAAATTCTTGAGAGTAAGAAACAACAATATCTGTGTATGTACGTAAACGCTTAAATTTGTATTGTTATGTAATCTGAATTTTCTAGGAAGCCTCCACATGCCTATAAATATAACCAATGCGCCACGCTAAAAAAAGAGTATCTATTATTAGTTTGCTATAGTCAGTGTGCTATAAACTTCGGAAACTATAACTGTGATTGTTATAACGCTTTTCAATCGCAAAACTTCAGATATTTGACCAAGAATATTTATAAAGTTTGAACATTACAAACCATTTAACTTCAGTGGATTCTCATGGTACATTAGTATTTTTACGAAAACATTATATAAATTCCTCGTGGAAACCTTGGCGTTTGCGGCTGGTAAATAACGAAGGACAAAGCTAGCTAGCTTTCTGTTAAGTGAATTATACCTACGTCAACTCGTAATCAACTCGCTCACTGTGAACTTCAGACGTGAAAGAAGACTTTATATTGTTTGTAAGTTTTGAAGCTGTTGTTTATAAATCTTCGTTTGTAACAACTATTTGTAATAATTGTTATTGTAAATTGTACTGTTGTGTGTGTGTATATTAAAACGTATTTGTGTTAAAAAAACTGTGTGTATCAATCTTGTTGGCAGATATCATAAACTGACTATATATCGGATTTTACTTAACTACTAAATCCAAAGTACAATTTAACTATTAGATTTAAATTTTCAGGTAAATCAATTTCAGGCTATTTGAAATTCTAATAAGTAGCAATCCTAATCTGTTTTACTCCTTAGATAGATCCTATGTCTCCTTGATCCTAATCTATTGCGCTAGTCACTCGACTGGAATTTTTGTTGGTATTGGAATCTACATTAACATTTTTCTATTATATTCTATATGGTTTTTGTTTATTTGTTTGTTTGTGATTAAGCACAAAGCTACACACTGGGCTATTTGTGCTCTGTCTACCACAGGTATCGAAACCCGGTTTTTAGCGTTATAAGTCCGCAGACATACCGCTGTGTCACTGGCGGCTATTTTAGGTGGTTTGGTATGTACGAACTGTGATCGTATTATGTTGTGGCTTTTAAATACTATTCTGACTTTATTCTGTTTACATATTCTGTGTATGTTTTCAGACATCTCTTACCCAGCGCTAACTTTTGGGCTACTTTTGCCTGATCAAAAAGTAGAAATTAACCGTTATTCCTATACCCCACCCACAGCCCCAAAATATGAGCACATTTTGAAGCAAAGGAACTAGACCTATGAACCCTAGTATTCGCAGTCCGAGCGCACTAACAAGTAGACACGCGCTTGGATAAGTTTTTTAAGTGGATTTATTATATTGTTGCGTCAGCGAGGTCACGTGACTAGTATCACGCCACGTCCTTCTAGAAATATTTTGTTCCTTCATGAATGCTCTAGCGTTTACTAGATATGTGCTAGTCTTGTATATATAAGACGGTCACAACGTGACGGAACAGACTAAGTATTGTTGAGTCGAGCACGTGAGACGTACGTTGAGAATTATATCGTTTGTTATAGCGCGACTGTTGAAATTAAGTGTATCGCAAAGTTATATTCAGAAAGAATAAACCAGTTTTATTTAAGAAAGGACTTGTGTCGCTAAAGTTTCGTCAAAACGAATTTACGGAAAATTAATTAACGAACGGAGACGTAACAATATATATGTTTAAAAGTACTTTAGGAAACAAAGGCGTTTTTTTCGGTTTAGGAATAATTAATATATGAAAGATCCAAAACTATATTTATAATGAACGTGACTGGCTGTCTTTTCGTGTTGAATGTTTTAATACATCAAAATCATGGCAAGAAAAAAGCTTAAAATCTTTATTTAACGCCTACTGCATTAACACATACAATATTTTACATTTGTTTTTTTATCAGAAATTGGCTTTCAAACTGGCAATCATTTTGATAGTAGCACACACCAACTAGTTTTAGTAAAAATGTTGAATAAAATGTCTCTAAAATGAACAATAAAAGCAAATGTTATAAAAATCCTCCACTTAGGAAGCTTTCATTTAAGAAAAAAGAAAATATTTTTTCTATGTTGGATTTTGTTTTAAGTAAGAGAATATTGTAGTTCATAATTATGGCAAAACACTTAGGATTTACAATTTTATACGAACCAAGGATAACGGTAAGGTTTTCACTATTAGAATTTATATTAATTTCCTGGATATTTTGAAGAAGTATCAAGAACAAAATTGTGAGAGTTTCTGTAATATGTATATAGCACACTCAAACACACACACAGCAATGAGGATGCTGCAGGAGGTACACATCTGAATTCTTATTACACAAGATGGTTGAAATTAGAATCACGTGATTTCGTGCGCCACCTACCGGATAAAAAGTGTATACAAGCTATTCATTTTTGTTTTCCATAGAGATAAGTGAAAACCAGTTTAATGGAAAAAGGATACAAATAATCAAGTTTTATGTTATTGGTTTTTTTACACTCAACCATGATAACTATTTTACCTTTTTAATCTGGTAAATAATTGCGTTTTCTAAAAATGTACCAATTACCACAGTTAGGTAATCGCTGAGATTTGTGAACCCTGTTTTACTCAACAAAGTTTGTTTAAAACCTAATGTTAAAATTACATCACTGTTGCTCAAAAACGTAATTATACTACCTTTAAAACTGTACTACACTGTAACTAGTAAAACCGATCCTTTCAACTACTATGATATATGTATTTACATTTAATTTAATGTACAGCAACTGAGGACTTTCAATCTGTTCCATAGGTATCCGAAATATAATGATGACCATTGCCAACAATTATAAAACATGCCCTCGTTTTCAATATAACATTTTTTAAGATGTAACAGACTGATCAACAGTATACGTACAACACAAGCACTCTGGGTTGTAGAATATGTGTCTCAAGAGAAGAAAGCGCCTATAGAGGTATTATGAAACGTTAAGCACCTAGTGGCGATATTCTGAAACAACCTTGATCCACAAACTTTAATACCAGAATAATAACCTCCTTGTTTTCGTTTCCTAAGTTCAAGACAGTCAATGGACCAGTATATAAAACAAATATTTAATGTAATAATAAACGTCTAAATTTCAATAGATAAGCGCGTTATTAAGTATCGAAAATATAACAAACCAAATAATATTTCATGTTTAGAACACGTGTTTAGGTAACGTACAGTTGAAAGAAGTTGTACTGTCAACACTGATTAGATGATGGTCTGATCCATTTCTGTGTATAAATACACCAGTTCACCAAAAAGGTGTAACATTTCAGTTACAACTTCCAATTTTGTACTAGTTCTTTTTTTCTATCGATGATAATGTAGACAAACGATACACCTCGGTTTTTCAAGTCAAAAGAGAGCCCTCTATTGATAACTACTTTTAATTTTATTATTTTCAGAGCGAAAATAAAACATTTGCGTATTATTGAATTAACCCTAGTTTTTGATATGCATACAAGTAAGTATTTTCACAACAATAGTCATCGCATTTACATTGTTAAAAGAAATATTTAATCACACTAACTAAACTCATTTTTGAGGCTATATAATTACACGTTTATGCTTCTCAATAGCAACGTTAGCACAAAACAAGTCATTCAAAAGAAAAACAAAACAAAATCACGACTAAGATCACACTCATTTCTTGTTGTAAAAGTTTCATAGATATTTCTACATAGTTTTACACCACAGGTTTTTTTGGAACAGATTAGCATCACCAAAATAGTTTAGCAACAGATCGTCATTCAAAATGTTGATATGCGCCGACAGATAGGTCTACATCCACACCTTCAAGGCCCGTCATTGTAAGGTAGAAGGTATTAAACTCCTAAGTTTTACGTAGTGGACTTCTTCTTCGTCTTTGGAGGAAGAGGTGGTTCCTTGGGTTCCTTGCCGATGCCTTTTGGGGGCAGTGGAGGCTTCATCCGAGGATCCGGAACCTTCCCCAATTTGACGTCATCATACATATCAGCATATAGCATGTCGTCACTTATGTCTGGTCTGAAAGGCTGCGGGAAATTAAACAAATGTACAGAGATACAGATATTAATAAACAATGACAAATCAAATAAATAATCACTTAGGAATATAGCATGTGGCTAGATATTATTATTTAAATAATACGTTAAAAACATTTAAATTTTATATTTTTCTCGTCAAATTAACCGATATATGTCTATGTTAGTTTCTTGGATGAAAATCTCATGTAACAAACATAACTATACGGGGCAACAGTACATGTACTATGTAACACTAGTTACATTTTAGGTTGACTCTTTCCTTAAGTTGGTGGCTTTGAATTAAAATACAAGAGTTTCTATTTGCTTTTAAACTGTAAACTTCGTTAAAACCTACCGAAATGGTTTAGAGCACAATCATTTGACCTTAATATTATTAATATGTATTATTAATCACATAAAGTCATTGTTTCATAGAACTATCTTCTGTATGTAAGCGTAACACAAATATACCTTACTAACGAACATTGGACCAAATGTCCGCTAATTTAAAACAAGTACATAGAAAATAACAATGGGTCCCCAGATATTCAAACTTCGAGTAATATTCGCTCGTTATGACCACATGAAACGTAAGCCTGACACCTAGTGATAATATTCACTGAAACAACCTGGATTCACAAAACTTTAATACCAGAACTACAGAATCAACTTATAAATTAATGAAGATAACTTTATCCAACAAACATACTATTAGTACATAACATGGTAAATCAATCCACAAGAAATCCAACAAACATACTATTCGTACATAACATGGTAAATCAATCCACAAGAAATCCAACAAACATACTATTAGTACATAACATGGTAAATCAATCCACAAGAAATCCAACAAACATACTATTAGGTACATAACATGGTAAATCAATCCACAAGAAATCCAACAAACGATACTATTAGTACATAACATGGTAAATCAATCCACAAGAAATCCAACAAACATACTATTAGTACATAACATGGTAAATCAATCCACAAGAAATCCAACAAACATACTATTA